GGGAGCGGCGACGAGGCCGCTAGGGGCGGCGACGGGGCCGCGTAAGGGCGGCGACGGGGCCGCGTAGGGGCGGCTACGGGGCCGCGTAGGGAGGGGAGCGGCGACGGGGCCGCTAGGGGCGGCGACGGGGCCGCTAGGGGCGGCAACGGGGCCGCATAGGGGCGGCGACGGGGCCGCGTAGGGGCGGCGACGGGGCCGCGTAGGGAGGGGAGCGGCTACGGGGCCGCTAGGGGCGGCGACGGGGCCGCGTAGGGGCGGCGACGGGGCCGCTAGGGGCGGCGACGGGGCCGCGTAGGGGCGGCAACGGGGCCGCGTAGGGAGGGGAGCGGCAACGGGGCCGCTAAGGGCGGCGACAGGGCCGCTAGGGGCGGCTACGGGGCCGCGTAGGGGCGGCAATGGGGCCGCGTAGGGGCGGCAACGGGGCCGCGTAGGGAGGGAGGCGGCAACGGGGCCGCTAAGGGCGGCGACAGGGCCGCTAGGGGCGGCTACGGGGCCGCGTAGGGGCGGCAATGGGGCCGCTAGGGGCCGCAAGGGGCCTGGAAGGGCGGCAACGGGGCCGCTAGGGGCGGCGACGGGGCCGCTAAGGGTGGCGCGAGGGGCCGTGAGAGGGGCCTCTAAGAGAGCTCGACAGAAGGGCGGCCCACAAGGCGCGCCTCGGGCAGGAGCGACTGTCGCTCCGTTCAGAAAAAAAAGTTTCAGTGGTGGGCCCAAGGAAGCGTTCCCACTAGGGAACCTGCTCTATACCATGTGAAGAAATGAGGAATGAATTGACTAAGGGAAAGTTGGGTAGAAAAGCAAACCCTAGAAAACTGTACCCCATATGTGCTACCCCACTATAGCCTACAGTAGCTATGTCATATAAATCTGACAAGTGTATTGTGCTCGACTCTTCCACCCTCTCTCGAACCTTCATGAGAAACGCTTTTGGCACGATAGGCTTGATAATTCATCCTCCACATTCTCGTCTCTGTGGACTCAGTTTCATATCTGAGACCTTTTCCTTAAATCAGGGTGGTTTCTCAACAATACAGTACTTCTCGAGACGTCCTCACGAGCTCGGATATTTCGCTGGTACACTTGTTCAGACCTTGGGCTTCGTCAGAAACCTATTCGTCTGGTGAACAGCCTTATTTATGGAATAAGCGCTGCTCGTTCAGGACAAACACGTGAGTATATTTGGCGGGAACTGCTTTTTCATCAGTGCATCGTCTTGTGAACACTGCTTTTTCATCAGTGCACCGTCTTGTGAACACTGCTTTTTCATCAGTGCACCGTCTTATGAACACTGCTTTTTCATCAGTGCACCGTCTTGTGAACACTGATTTTTCATCAGTGCACCGTCTTGTGAACACTGCTTTTTCATCAGTGCACCGTCTTGTGAACACTGCTTTTTCATCAGTGCACCGTCTTGTGAACACTGATTTTTCATCAGTGCACCGTCTTGTGAACACTGCTTTTTCATCAGTGCACTGTCTTGTGAACACTGCTTTTTCATCAGTGCACTGTCTTGTGAACACTGATTTTTCATCAGTGCACCGTCTTGTGAAGACTGCCTTTTCACCAGTGCAACGTCTTGTGAACACTGCTTTTTCATCAGTGCACCATCTTGTGAACACTGATTTTTCATCAGTGGTGTTACACGCTCCACTTAAACGCCCATAGTGACCCTGGCGAAGTGTGCTAAACAGCGTGAATTGACAGAATCGCTCATAGACCCTCTTCACAAGGAGAGTATGGGGGACTCAAACGCGCATTAAGTGTAGCGTGCTTGTCTTCATTTTTCACACCACACGCTTCCAATTGGAACAACACGGCGTTTCTGTCTTCCCTCCCCGTTACAGTCACTCTCATTTACGCCCAGATACAGTGTCTCTAGACATCATTGCTGAGGTCGGCAAGCTTCCTTCGCTCTTTCCTAAATAGGCCATGCATGCACTGTACAACTGTAGCGCAACAGAACATTCGGATTCGCAGGCACTTGCTGAGTCTCCTCCACGAAACCCTAATCCATCCGTACTCCCTAGTCCCCGAGTTGCCATCTACGTTTGGCCCGTATTTGTTGGGATTGATTGATATGTCACTTCACTTCTCTATTGTCGCATCCTTCTAGGTGTAATCTCCATACCCCTCGACCTTATTATTCTGGGATTTGCATGACATTATTATGGCTTCGCACGATAATATCGTGACTTCTCAGGACAGTATAGTGAGTTCGCAAGATGATATTTTACTAACTGCTCTCCCAGGTAACGCATCACGCCAAGCAGCCGTTAGCGCGGTTGAAACCCCTTCCATGTTGCCATCCGTGGCACAAATATGGTCGGAACTGCACGGTTCGATCGACTATGACAATCCTAAGCTCGGCATCAGAAGGTTGCCGGGAGAGCAGTGTAGTTCTATTCCCATCCCTGAACGTCAGCCACAGGCACAACTTCAGCCGCAGAAGTGGGAGCAACAACAGCCGCAGCCGGAGCAGCAACCACGGCAGCGGGAGCAGCAGCAGCAACAGCAGCAGGAGCAACAACAGCAACAGCAGCCGCGAGAGCAGCTGCTGCAGGATTTGCCGCTGCAGTTCTTAGATCCGTTGCAGCTGTCGTGGCTTTCAGACTCGACGCAGCTCCCATGGGATTCGAACGACGTCGCCGGCCTCGTTACAAGCAACGACGAAGAGCTCTTAAAGCAGATGCAGTTGCATAGTACAGGAAAACCTGACAATTCGTTGGTAAATTTTCCGCGGCCGTTGGATTTAGACGAAGCCGTTGCTAGGGCCATGATGGTTGGATCAACCTCGGGCGCAGGTTCGGATCTAGGTTCGGGAGCAGGTTCTGGAACAAGTTCAGGAATGGGCGGTGAAGGTTTGGCGTCAATGGATGCGGAGCAGCTTGATTTGCAGCAGCAGCAGCTGAACTTGGAAATGCAGATTCTGCTTCAGCAGCAGCAGCAGCAGGAAGACCAACAAGAGCATCAACAACTACAGCTGGATCTACAGCAGCAGAACCAGCGACAGAAACAGCAACAGCAGCAACAGCAACAGCAACGGCAGCGAGAGCAGCAGCAAGAGCAAGGGCAGCGAGAAGAGGATGTGTCCGCGCTGGCGAAGCAGATGCTGCAGCAGGCGCAGCAGCAACGGCTGTTGCAACAGCTCGGCCAACTTCAGCAGCAGCAGCAGGAACAGCTAATCCAGCATCGGCAAGAGCAGGAGCAACGAATGTTGCTACAGCTGCAGCTCTTGCAGCAACGGCGGCTGTTACAGGGACAAGCACACCAGGTGCTCTCGCCACAGGGACTCATGCTGATGCAGCAGCAGCAGCAGCAACAGACGCAACAGCAGCAGTTGGAGCATTTGCAACAGCAAAAGCAGCACCTGCAGAAGATGCAGCAGATGCAAGAGCAGCAGCTGCTGCTGCAGAAGATGCAGCAGGCGCAGGTGACACAGCAACAGTATCATCGACTGCAGCAAGTGCTAACACAGCAACCGCTAACACAGCAACCGCTAACACAACAACCGCCAACGCAACAACCGCCAACACAACAACCGCCAACACAACAACCGCTAACACAGCAGGCACTAACACAGAAACCCCTAACACAGCAAGCGCAGCAAGCTTTAGCACGTCAAGATCAAGCATCAGGAGGGCTGTTGCAAGCCGCATCAGCGCAAACCGACCTGCTCAGCAGCACCGCTCTCAACCCCTGTGACCGAGCCTCCGTGGCTTGGCGGCAGGCTCGGGAACAAGTCCTGCTTCAGCTGCGGAACCAGCCCTTGCCTGGAAGTTTCCTGGCCACGAGAGGTGCTGCGCTGGGTGCATCATTTGGGGATGGTTGGATTCAAGGCTTGTCGGCGCAGGAGGGTGGAATGCAGGGGGGTGGATCGCCGGGTGCCCCTCTGGTGGGTGTGGCAACGTGCGCGAGCGGAGGGCGTGACGTGCTGTGCGAGGGGAGGCGAGCGTGGGACGTGCAAGCCCCGGGGAGGCTGGAGGGGGATGGGGGGGTGGCAGGCGGTGTGAGGAGCCGTGGCATGAGCGCGGGAGGCGCGGCGGGTGTGGGGGGCGGAGGGATAGGTGCGGGAGGCGAGTGGGAGCTGCTGCAGCAGCTGCTGGGGGGGTCGACTCTGGTGGGCGAGGGTGGTGGTGGTGCTTCTGCTGCTCCTGCTGCTGGTGGCGCGGGTTCAGGAGGGGCGCTTCAAGCGCAAGCCATGGGCCTGACACAGCATACCAACCAACGCGCTGCTGCTGCTGCTGCTGCCACCGCTTGGCGTTCTGCTTCTGGTGGTGGTGTTTTCGCTGCCAGTACGAGTGCAGCTCTGGAAGTGCCTGCGCGGTCGTCAGTGGGAGGGAAGAGGCTCAGGGACCAACCACCAGCTGCTATGCCTTCTGCTGCTGCTGCTGCTGCTGCTGCTGCTGCTGCTCCTGTCTCTGCTGGTGCTGCTTCAGCCGCAGCTAGTCGTGGGGCACTTGGCAGTGCTGCGCCTCCCCCTCCTGTCTTCCGAGCCTGCGAAACAGCTTCGGGATCACCAGCCACGACGGACTCCCCTGCCACGTCAGCGTCGGCGCTCTCATCCCCATCGCATTCCACATCGGGCTCTGGAGGAAGCTCGTCCGGACAGGGCGGAGGGGTGCTGGGGAAAAGAGCGTCCGGCGGAGGGGCGCTGGGGGGACGTGTGGCGGGGGCAAGGGCAGGTGAGGGAGGGGCAGGTGTGTTGGGTGGAGGTGTGTCTGGGGTAGGTGTGTCTCATTCCACCCCCACGGCCAGCTCGCATCCCCCCATTCTGACCCACAGTCCACCTGGACGCAACCTGCTGCCTGCCGTCACCACCACCCCCACAGCGTGCTCACCTCCAGCCAACCCGCTCCCACCCACTCCCACCACCGCCACGACCCACCACGCCACCTTCCATGAGCCCGCAAGACCTGCATGCACGAGCCAAGCCTCGCCCAGAACGCGCGCTGGGCCTGCTGCCTCTTCCAAGACCCTCTCTGCATCGGCATCTGCGCCTGCAGGGGGGTCTAGGAGCAGCAGGGCGCGGAGGGCCCCCCCCTCCGCGCTGGCGTCTCGCCTGGCGGCTGTTCTGAACGACATTCAGTCCAAGCCCGCCCCGCCCGCCCTGCCCTTCGCCTCTGCCTCCGCCTCCCGCCTCTCCCCTCCCGCTGCCTCCGCCTACCTCTCTCCATCCGCCTACGCCTCTGCTGCTCCCTCGGACTTCGCCTTTGCCTCTGCCACCACCTTCCCCACCCTCTCTTCCTCTCACGCCTCTGGCGCTCGCGGCATGGAGGAGGAGCAGGCAGCGGCACAGAGGGGGGCTGCGGCGGGTGGGGCAGCAGGCAGAGAAGTGGTGCTGGTCGGGGGAAGGGTCAGGGGCTTGGACTCGTTTGACTTTTCCAGGGCTTCTGCAGAAGGGGTGACTGGTGGTGCTGGTGGTGGAAGCAGGGGTGCTGCTGTGTTTGGCAGCGCTGCTGGTGGTGGGGACACGGGTGGGAGCAGCTTCACTGTTGCCCAGGATGTGCTGCAGGCAATGGGAGCGAATCCGTTGCTGCCACGTGGTGCGACCGGATTCGACGACCTTCAGTCGCTGCAGCCCCCAGGGTCTCGCCGCCGAACCGCCGGTCTTTACGGGGTAGGAGAACTCTCTCTTGATTATAGGGATGCTGTTTCTTTTAACGAATCTGGCTATAGCGGATCTGGCTGTCGGGTTCCCTGGGGAGCCTGGGAAGGAGGAGCAAGTGGTATGTCAGATCAGCTTATAAAGGGTTTGGGGGAGAATGCAGCAAGAGGAGGCAACGCTGCAGTGGCAGCACTGTCCGCAGCTTGGTGGGAGGCTCGGGGACAGGTTGGAGCCTTGGAATTCCCCAGGCCTACCGCCGGACCTGTATCTGCCGACATCACCGGCCCGGATGTTTCTGGGAAGTTTCGGTCTGTGGAGAAATTTGCGCGGGCACAGATGGTGGCGATGGCGGAGGCGGCAGAGGCGGGCGACACCGGGCGGTTTCACTCGGCGTTTGTGCAGCTGAAGCCGCTGGGGAAGGTGCGAGGAAATGCGGTGGAGCGGTTGACGCACTACGTGTTGGAGGGGCTGATGAGGCGCATGGCTGGGACGGGGTTCCAACACTTCTGCACGCCTCTTAGGCGCCCTCCCAAGGTGAGACACTCTGAGACTCCGAGCAGGGTCGTAAGTGACTCTGTGTGCAGTGCAGCGGCCGACTCACGAGGGCCTTATGAGGCGCTTGGCTGGTTCGGGGTCCCAAGAGGCGCCCTCCCAAGATATGAAGTTCCAGACGAAACGTCCCTTGGTATGAGACTCCTTTTAGGGAGTGGGTGACTCTGTAGCCAGAGCAAGTATGGTGAAAAGCGGGTGCAATCTACGCAACCTTTACTCAAATCTGGCGCTCCCTCCCCTCTTCCCCTCCTCCCCTTCCCCTCCTCCCGGTCCCAGGAGCTAGACGAGGCCCTGACCCTGTACGCGTCGTCACAGCCCTTCCCGCTCTTCGCTAGCATCTCTGTGGCGGGTCTAGTAGCGGAGGCAGTGAGCGGCAGCACGCACGTGCACATAGTGGACTTTGGGTGCTTCCAGCCCATCCACCTGCCCGTGCTCATGGACCTCTTCGCCTCCCGCCCCGGGGGGCCGCCGTCTCTGCGCCTCACGGGGATGGACACGGCGAGTTTCATTTGTGCGGGGAGGAAGGATTTTAAAAGGCTGAGGGCGATGGAGGACGTGGGTAGGCGGCTGCGGGGCGTGGCGCGGCATGTGGGCGTGCCGTTTGAGTTTGAGAGTGTGAATGTGGACGAGGACAACCTGCAGCTGCTGTACCAGGTGAGATGACAAGGACGAGCTGCAGCTGCTGTACCAGGTGAGATGACAAGGACGAGCTGCAGCTGCTGTACCAGGTGAGATGACAAGGACGAGCTACAGCTGCTGTACCAGGTGAGATGACAAGGACGAGCTGCAGCTGCTGTACCAGGTGAGATGACAAGGACGAGCTGCAGCTGCTCTACTAGGTGAGGACCCGCCTGCACCAGATGAGCCTGCACCAGATGAGCCTGCACCAGATGAGCCTGCACCAGATGAGCCTGCCTGTCTGTATGTACCAGGTGAACCCTGCACCAGGTGAACCCTGCACCACACCAGGTGCACCCTGCACCAGGTGAGGTGGACCAGGTGCCTGTCTGTATGTACCAGGTGAACCCTGCACCAGGTGAACCCTGCACCAGGTGAACCCTGCACCACACCAGGTGCACCCTGCTCCAGGTGAGGTGGACCTGCAGCAGGCGAGCTTGATTGGTGCTGTTCACTCAATGCCCAGCTTCACGGTGCTTTGTTCTTGAACCCTCCTCTTCCTTCTTGTCCCCCGCATGTGATGTGGAGCGGCGGTGGCACGAGACGCTGGTGGTGGTGTGCGCTCTGGAGCTGCTGCTGCTGCTGCTGCTGCTGCTGCTGTCCTCTCATGCTCTGCTGCCTCCCCCTCTCCCCCCCCCCAGGTGAAGCGGCAGTGGCACGAGACGCTGGTGGTGGTGTGCGCTCTGGAGCTGCTGCTGCTGCCCGACTCCCCCAACGGACCTCGCCACTGCGTGCTGCGGGTCAGTGAAACCTCGTACTTGGATCTTTTCATGCTGCTTGCTGCCTGCGAGTCAGTAAGCCGGGTCAATGGTCCAAATGGGTCAGCGGCTCATGTCATCTCACTGTGTATGCTAGACTGTCACAGCAGACTGTCTTACTTGGATCCTCTCACCTGCATGATGCACATTCTACCCCTTGCCTTGTCACATCCCCCAAACCCAATCCCTCCCTTCCGTCCCACCCATTTCCGTTTTCACCATCCGCTTGCTCCATTCCCACTTCTTCCCTCCCCATTCTCTCTGCTGTCCCTCACTCACCTCTCCCCGTCCTCATCCCCACCTCTCCCCATCACTCCCCATCCCTTCCTATCCCCCCCCCCCCTCCTACCCTTCGTCCCCTCCCTTCCTCCCAGTGGATCCTCGACATGCATCCAACGCGCTTCCCCTTCTGTGACGTGACCTCGATACCAACCACAGCGCCTTCCTCCCCCTCCTCATCTTCCCTTCCCCCCCTCCCCTTTCGTTGCCCCCTTTCTGTTCCCCCTCCCAGTTGATCCACGACATGCATCCAGCACTCTTCACCTTCTGTGACGTGGACAGGCACACCAACCACAGCGCCTTCCCCTCCACCCTCCCCAGCTCCCCTCTCCTTCCCCATCCCTACCCACACCCCCTCGTTCCCCTTCCCAGTGGATCCACGACATGCATCCAACGCTCTTCACCTTCTGTGATGTTGATATGGACACCAACCACAGCGCCTTCCTCCCGCGCTTTCAAGACATTGTAGACCACCACCTCGCCACCTTCCAGTTTCACGACGTCTTTCTCGGGAACGCCGACAAGCGCCTGCTCTCGGTATTCGAGGAGATTTACTTCGCGCGCTCTATCATAAACGGGATTGCTTGTGAAGGGGATGAGCGGGTGGTGCGGTCGGAGAGGGCGGGGCAATGGAGGAAGCGGTTGTTAATGATGGGGTTTGCACCGTGCTCCATTCCGACGCCGGTGATAGACAGTGTACATAACATGTTGAAACGTTTCCCGCTTGGGCTGGGGTTACAGATAGAGGATGGGATGGTGAGCTTGATGTGGCGGGGAAGCCGTTCCCTGTTCACGTCGGCATGGATCCCGTGTATCGGCAGGTGAAACATGGACATGTTTTCCTGTAATAGTTGGGAGTAAATGTTTGACGTATATGTATCATCTGCATTGTTTCAGTCAAGCATAAAAGAAAGTTTTTCATTAGTTGCCAAACTCTGCTTCATGTAAATACATCGTCTGATTAGTTGTCCTTTGTCGGAGCAGTTTACATCGAACTCTGGCTCATGGGAGATCCCAGAACTCGCTGGCGTCAGCCAGCCTGTAATCTGTGCAGGTAGAAACTTCTCAACAGGTTTGCCAGTATCTAGGTTCGGGCTGGGTGCCTCGCCACGCCACGCCACCAGACTGCAGCCATGTCAGCCTCCAGACCTCTAGATTCGCGCACCGAACCTTGATTGCCAGGCGTGCCTGCAGTCCAGTCGTGCCAATGTGGCAAGGCTCAGGTGTAAAGTTATGCTTGAAGACGTGACAATCTTGAGTGTTGCCTCTCGAACTTTGTCGGAGCAGCTGACATCGAATAACGACTATCACAGAATCAGGCGACGTCAGCGATTCTGCAATTTGTGCTGAGAGAAATTTCTTCACATGTTCGCTCGCATCTAGGTTCGGCATGTGTGCTCGGCATGCCACCACAGCAGAGTCAGCCATGTCAGCAATCCAGACCTAAAGTCACGCACAGAGTCTTGTCTGCCAGACTTGCTGGCGTCATCCCTGTGGCCCACTCGTATCAACGTGGCACCAAACCTCGCGATGGTTCAGTTTTGCAATCAGCGTGGTGAATCCTCCTCGTGAATATTTCGTGTGGAGGTTTGCTCTGCCCACAACGCAGGTCATGCGGGAATGATAGGTCATGATGCCGTAGAGGAATCTGCCTGACGAGGAAGGCCCCCAAGAAACTCCTAGAATTACATTTTCTCCCACTGCTCGCCATATATACATATATATATAATCATCCACATTCGTTTCTAAAATCACCATTCTCCGGTTGTCTGGACGCTCATTCTCTCGATCCACCTTCAGTTTCCTTTCCCCTCGGATACTCCCGACGACGTACCAGCTGTTCGCAATGGCCGCCGAAGTCGGAGAGGGTAACTGCATCGGCTATGCCGCCAGGGATCAGTCGGGATTCCTCTCGCCCTTCAAGTTCAACCGCAGGTTCGCCTAGCTATATTCATATCTTTCCCGCGTTTCCGCCAAATCCGTGCTTGTGTCTGCAAGTCCATTGCTCTTACCACCTACCGGATCCTGGAATTCCGTGCCATTGATTCGTACAAGCATTCGTATCACGCATTGCGTTCGCCTTTGAGAAACTCAAAGCATCTTTGTGTTACGTTCTGTCGCGCGCAGGGAGGTGGGGCCCAAGGACGTGCGCATCCGCATCACGCACTGCGGCATCTGCCACAGCGACCTGCACCAGGCCAAGAACGAATGGGGCGGCTCGCAGTACCCCATGGTCCCGGGGTGCGTCCGCTTCGTCTCTTCCTCCTCTTGCCTCCCTCTTTCTCCCCCATGTCGAGAAAGATCGTTGTTTCTCTCTCTCCTGATACCGTTCCCTCGTTTCCACCATTCTCCTCTGGAATAGTGTGTTCCCTGCATGCTGGTCTTTTTAAACCCCGACTCTGTTCTCTCCCCCTCGTTTTCTTTTTCTCGACAGGCACGAGATCGCGGGGGTGGTGGAGGCGGTGGGCTCCGAGGTGACCAAAGTGGCGGTGGGGCAGAGGGCGGGCATCGGGTGCATGGTGGACTCGTGCCGCACGTGCCAGCCATGCGTGCAGCACGTGGAGCAGTTCTGCCCGCAGTGCGTGTACACGTACAACAAGGTCGACCCCAAGACGGGCGAGACCACGCAGGGCGGCTACTCCTCCTTCTACGTCTGCGACCAGGAGTACGTCTCTTCAACCTCTCGCTCCGTGGAGCGAAATTACCGTCCTTGAAGCACTCCCGGTCTTCTAAATATTGCAGGGCGGCCCCGACCCTTTCGCTGACTGTTTGAGCCAAATTAATAATTTCCGAAACTCTTGACTCCGCAAGACCAGGTTTTGACATTTTGTCGCGTGTTCCACCCCCTCCCTCCCCGCGATTCCCGCAGCTTCGTGCTGACGATTCCCGACAAGCTGCCGTCCGACGTGGCAGCGCCGCTGCTGTGCGCGGGAATCACGGTGTACTCGCCCATGGTCTACTACGGCATCAACCAGCCGGGCAAGCGGTTGGGAGTGGTGGGGCTGGGCGGGCTGGGGCACATGGCGGTGAAGTTCGGCAAGGCGTTTGGCATGCATGTGACGGTGCTGAGCACGAGCCCCAGCAAGGAGAAGGAGGCCAAGGAGGTGTTGGGCGCGGATCAGTTCATTGTTACCAAGGATGCTGACGCCATGAAGGTGAGAGAGGACGTGGCTCTGAGAGAGAGCGGACGAAAGGCAAAGCTCATTGGCGAGGAGCATGGTACAATCTTCTAGATTGCAAGATGCGTCTTACTGTGAGGCACTGACCGTTTGGGGATACTTGTAAATATACACGTTCTTGACACTCTTTCCCACCACCACCAGGCGGCAGTGGGGACATTGGACGCCATAGTGGACACGGTGTCGGCACAGCATGAGCTGGCGCCGTACCTGGATCTCCTCATGTTCAACGGCAAGATGATTGTTGTTGGCGTGCCCCCAGAGCCCTACGGCCTGCATGCCGGCCAGCTCATCTTTGGTGAGTCATGCCTGCTCATGCCTGACAACAGGTTTATTCGTTTGGTTCTCCCTGAGTACCTTGTTGGTTCCAACGGGGTTGGGTAGGGATGGGCTAATATTATGTAATCCTGATCATCCTTCTTGGGTTGTGACTGTGCATTGGTGGTGTTGTTCCTTCTGTCTCTTGTCACAAATTGCAGGCCGCAAGACTCTGGCTGGTAGCTTGATCGGAGGGATCAAGGAGACTCAGGAGATGCTGGACTTCTGTGCTGAGAAGGGGGTTGCACCTATGATTGAGACCATTGACATCCAGGGCGTGAACAAGGCATATGAGAGGATGCTCAAGAACGACGTGAAATACCGCTTTGTCATCGACATTGAGAAGAGTCTCAAGTAGAGACCTGATTATCGCCTTTTTTTTTGTAATATTGCTATTGGCAACTTGCTAATAAGATGTGCTCTACTCCATATGGGTGAGTAATTGAATGTAGGCCAACTATTACAGTGAAACTACAATGAATAAGGAATGGTATCACCTTGCTCTTTCTTGCGTTAGAGATTACTACAATTCTGTAGTTCTGTTGAGTACAAAACAGAAGCAGCTACCTCTGACCCTGATGCCGAACCCCACAGTTCCCAGCAGTGCGCATCTCCCCGCGCGCACCAACCCACCAACTAAGATTGTCTCGCTCGCGTGGCCCTTGTGCCCCTCGATTTTCCCATACAGTACCGCCCAGCCGTTACAATATCGATGGGGATTGTAGGGGAGGTGGATGGGTCACCATGCATGATGCTAGTTGCCTCGAGTTCTGATTGTCCTGTGCCTGCCTGCCTGCTTGATTGCTTGCTTGATCCACTTGGCTTTCTTGCCATTCCCCATTCCATCCATCTACCTCACACATCACGCCGCCTGGAGCTTAGGTCTTACACTCGCATCGCCAGTTGCTGCAAGCATTGTTCCTGATCGGAGTTCCATTTCGCATCGCGTACAACGCATCGCTCCTCGCCCTCACCTTCCTGCTTGCTAAGGACCCTCGACTTTTCGTTCCAGCTAAGCTTTCTCACGCTCCCCAAGTTCTTAGCTTTGAGTTATAGTGGATTTTTGGTGTCCTGTGTGCGCGCTGCGCTCGACATTGTTCCGCGTCAGCGGCCGCGTCTCACGGGGCACGTCACCGTTTCGCCACCGTTCCACTAATATGTTCTGTTGCTTCTGTCGCTCGCGAGCCGCGGACGATGACGACGATTACGCCACGACACTCCCCCCCGCTCCCGCGAATCGCAAGCACGCTGCGCCAACCGCCACCGGAGCATCCGCGGGCGTGCACGAGTTCGCGAGCCAGATGGCGGCGGCGGACGACCGCGTCGCCATGTCGTCCGTCGCCGTGCTTCACGCCGCGCAGATCCGCAGCATCCGCTCCGAGAATGCCGGCGACGCGAGGCCTGTCGGCACGCCGCCGAGCCGCGGCGGGAGTCGCGGAGCGACCCCGCGAGAGTCGCAACGGTCGCCGGGGGTCGCAGGCGACTGGAATCGGAGTTATCAAGGCCAGTCCACCCCGGGCGCAGCGTCCGGTGCGGGGTTTGGTTCGAATGTTGCCGCAGTGGGAAGCGGAGTTAGCGGGAGCGGGTTTGGCGGGGGCGGTGGGGTCCATAGCATGTCGGAACCTCGAATCGCGACACCTGGAGCTACAGGAGACAAACTACCGCTATCGCCTTTATCGGGTATGCTTATAACGGGCCAGGCGCAAGGTCACAGTTACAGCCCCGCACAGGGGGGGCATCATCACGCGCAGTACGCGCACCAGGGGAAGAGCGCAGGGGCGGGCGGGGGCGCAAGCGGGGGTATTGGCACAGGCGGAGGTGGAGGCGGCGCAGGGGGAGCGGGTGGCGCAGTTACGATGGCGAGCGGGCCTGGGACGCAGCGCTCCGTGCCAATGGCGTCGAGCGCGGCCGCGTCTGCACTGGGCCGCGCGCGGATACAAGCGTGGCTTCAGGAGTCAGAGTTTAACTACGCGATAGTTGACGAGGTGGATAACCTTCCTACGAAGCTTCCTTCGTCAGCCGGTAAAGGGACGAGCAGTGCCGCCGGTGATAGCGACGCTGTGACTGTAGGCGGAGGTGACAGCAGCGGGGGCACGAACAGCACGAGAGAAGGGAGCCACGATCCCCTTAGACCCGCATTCTCCAACCCTGACGAACCCGCTATAGAGAAACTCGGTTCGTTCTTATCGAGCCTGCTAAACGGGTGCTATGATGACGCCAGTAGCCCCGCGCCTCCCCCGCAGCCGGGCAGCAGCAATCAGCCGTTCGATCCGTTCGCGAGTTCTAGTAACGCGGGGTCGTGGCGCAGAGAGACCGCAGTTGTGACTCTACCGGGGTCCAGAAAGGATCTGCCTCCTGCCGCACCACCGTTTGCGAACGCAGCAGCATTAGGAGGGGTGAGAGGAGGAGGGGGAGCAGGGGGGATTGCGGGAGGAAGAGCAGGAGGCGCAGCAGCAGGAGCAACGCGAGGAGCAGCAGATATAGGAGGCACGGGCGTCGGGCGTTTAGGTGCTGTTGTTGTTTCTCTAGCTGCTCCGGCTGCTGCTGCTTCTGCTTCTGCTGCTCGTGATAACGGTGTTGGCGTTGCTGCCGCTGCCCCCTCTTCCCCCCTTCCTTCTGCCACGGCTGGCGGCACTGCCACGCGCAATCCATCAGCAGTGCGCACGTGGAAAGACAGCGCTGACGCTACCTTGCTCAGCGCTAAGTTTCACTCGCAGGCTCGGACTGCCGGGCCTACAGGCTTGGGATCGGGAGCCGCGCTGTCCCCTGCTGCTGCCGCCGCTGCAGCTGCTGCCACGGCGGCGGCGGCTGCAGCAACGATGGCGGGCGCGGGGGCGGATGCGCGTATGGGCGCAGCGGAGCCCTGCGCGCGCAGCTCTGCGCTAGCTGCAGCAGAAGCAAGAGAATCATCACCATCAGCAGCAGTAGCAGGTGAAACAGCAGCTGCAGCAGCCGCAGCAGCAGAAGCACTGGCAGCAAGAGGAGGGGCTTCAGCGGCAGGTAGGGAAGAAGCAAGCATTGAAGCAAAGGGGCCTCTTGGAGGTGCTGATTTAGCAGACACTCGTGCTGCAGCTGAGGCTGCAACCACAGGAACAGGCGGGGCAACTGGTACCGATGGTGCTGATGGTGGAATTGGTGGCACAGATTGCACAGGCGGTTTTGTTGCTGCTGATGGTGCTGGTGGGACAGATGGCACAGGTGGTGCAGGTGCGGCAGTGGGGCAAGGGCGAGAGCGTGAGAGGGAGGGTCTGCTGGTGCAGGCGCTGACCAATCAGATGCGGCAGAACGGGGGAGAGGGGGAGGGGGGTGACGGCAGGGCGAGGGGGAGAAGCAACGGGGAGGGGGGGCTGCAGGCACAGGAGCCAGCAGGGAGAGAGGCAGAGAGCGCAGGGGAGCAGGAGTGGCGGGGTGTGAGCATGAGGGAGGGCCGAGGAGGGGGGGAGAGCGAGCTGGTGAGTCGGTCAGTGACAGAGGCGTCAGCGGGGGATTTGTCAGCAGTGGCTAGCAATATTGGAGTCGCTTTTGAGAACTCTCACAAGTGATTCCCACATAGCCGGTCAGTGGTTGAGGTGTCAGCTGGGGATATTTCAGCAATCGCTAGCACGGGAGCAGGGCTGGGGAGGGGGGCTGTTTTTGAAGCGCCCCTAAAGCGAACTCAGATGGGGCACTATGCCTTGGTGGGTGGCAGGGGAGGAGGATGGGGAGGGTAAGGGAACAGTATTTCTGAGGCGTTTTTTAAGTTCGGCTGGATATGTTTCCCTGTGGGCAGCACTGGAGCAGGGTTGGAGGGGGAGAGAGGGAGGTGGGGAGGGGTGCAGATGGAGCCTTTATGGAATGTGCAGGCCCAGCAGGCAGTGCAGGCATGTCTGTAACCGCTTGGAGTTGTCTGGAGTGGTTTGTCGCGGTGCGGTGCGGTGGGCCAGGGTGATTTGGCTGTAGTTTAGTGGCAGTGGGGGAGAGGGTGTGGTAAAGGGCACCCTGAGGGGAGAACGAAATGGAATGGCGTGCTCTGAGATGCGTGTGAAAGCATGGCAGTACTGACCATGCTTACAAGTCAACTGATTGGAGGGTGGGACGATGCTTGGGTCAACTGACACAGGTCAAGCCAGCTGCATTATGAGATTTTTAAGATGTCTGAAAGTTAGTGAGGGTACCACGTGTCAGAGGTTCACTCGTGATCCCCGATTGATCCTAAGGAAAGATTTTAGGCTTGTTGTCCTGGGGGGTTATGGGCGCACTGACCCGCTACTTAACAAGCCCTTTTATCCTAGTGGTCTAGTGACTGGGTTTCGGACACTACGGTACTACCCGTGCCTGTTTGCACCCTTTGCTGAATAGCGCATGAGGTGGGAAGGAGCCTCATGCAGGCGATTTGCTGCATTTATATTGCATAAGTTTTACTAGTGTAGTTGCACACACTCGTGCGAGTGATATGTGATTGTGTAGGGTTTCCGAGAAGTGGTGTAGCTTTTTTATGTACAACATAGGTTGAAGTGGCTGTGTGTTTTAGGCAGCATTTATTATTCAGTTTCGACTATAGTCCACATTCACTCCACATGCTTGTGCAATTGAGGCACGATCCACCATCCTCCTTCGCAGCAGCAACAGCAGCAGGCAGTAGGTGAGCAAGAGGTATGGTGAGGCATGTTGAGAGATGTAGGTCTCTTAGCATTTCTGAAATTCCCAGTTAGACTATACAATATCGAAACAGTACAATAGTGGGTCTCGAACTTGATGACGTCAGCATTCGGATTCAGCTGACTAGTCAAAGTAGATCTAGGCCTAGGTCAACAAATAGCCACTTTCATTAGTGTCTATAGGTCAACACCCCTAGAGTGACGAATAGGTACTTCGTCTACAGTATACGAACAGGTACTTTTGCTAGGACTATAAAAGCTCTGTATGCATGTTTCATAAATATAACTTTACACACATATAATTTTTATAACTTACAACTTTCATATACAAACTTGACTCCACACAAGTTGGACAAGCTACAAGTCTTCCGCTGCCAATACTTAGTCTTTAATCCAAGATACTACGATTCCTGAAAAGGGCTACGTCCCTTAACCAATTCTACGGGTTTCCAACCCATTCCATCATGGTATGAGAGCAGTTTTGGATTAAGACAACTCTCAACTACGCTTCCAACATACAACAATGGCTGCAGCAGCAGTCAACAATGCTGTACCCGCACAAGACCATCAACAAGCACATCAGCAAACTGCTATGAGCTTCGTCAAAGTGACCAAAATCAAGACGACAACACTATTTGACGGCAAAGATTTCTATACATGGAGTTTTGAATTCGAACTTCTTGTGAAGGCTGCTGGCATATGGCACCTCTTCGATGGTTCTTCACCATTTCCTGTCAACGACACACCAATGCAACAGCAGAGATTCACGAGTGAGTCACTAACAGCATATACTATTTTGATTCGCAACTTGACAGCCATGGAGCAGCTGGGCATCCGATCGTTTAACACTGGCAACTCACCTGCTGAAGCTGCCTGAAGTTACCTGCAAAACCTCTACATGGGGAGAGATGCAATTTCTCAAAGCAAGATTTTATCCCAGCTCGCCAACATCCAGATGCAGCCAGGCGAGAAAGCGTCAACATACATCAACAGGAGCAGAATTTAAGGGATCAACTGCTGAAATGCGGCGGCTACTTTCCTAGAGAGATGTTTATTACAGTACTACTTGAGGGTCTAGGACCGGAATGGAGACAATGCCGAACAGTTCTCCGAATGCAAGGGGACTTATCTGAAGGAGCTTTTTGTGCGGCTCTTCTGGCGGAGCAGAATGACTTGGACCTGCACCAATCAAGAAATCCACCATCAGAAATTGCAAGTTTCTACAGCAACAACCGACAACAAAGGATATTTTGCGACAACTGCAAGAAACCTGGGCATACCTCATCAACTTGTCGCTTCAAGGTTCAGACTGAGTCACAGTCACCACTTCAGACTCCAACGCTTCACCAGCAACTTCAGCTAGTACAGCAGCAACTCCAGAAACTTCAGACACAAGTGCAACAGTCTCAACAACCACCACCACCAACTGCAGTTCCTGCAAAGCCAAACCACAGTGTGGTTAGTTGCATGACTATGCTGCAAACCAAACCTGACAGCTCAAGCAACTGCACTACTACTCCCCCACACAGTTCAACCATACATGCAAATTCATGGTTTCTTGATTCTTGCTGTGGACAACACATGTGTGGCGCAGACAATCCTTTCATCTTCAACCATCAGCCACTTCAGCGCCCCTGCATCATTACAACAGCAAATAACACAGAGTTAACTGCTCATTCCACTGGCAACATACTGCTGAAATCTACTTCAACTGACATTATCCTTGAAGTTACTAATATTCTTCTGGTTGAAGGCTTGGCCTTCAATCTCCTTTCAGCTTCTCAGTTGCTGGCCAAGAAAATTCATCTGCAAGGAGATATCAACAGCCATGAGTTTTTACTCAGCAAAGGCCAACTACTATTGGGGAAAGCTATTCCTCACAATGGCGAACTCCTCTTACAGTTTCGTAGTCTTCAGGTTGAAGAAACACCTGCAGCAGCCACTGAGCTCCAAGAAACATTTCCAGCAGCTGCCACCATGTTCAGCAGTTCTACAGCAGTCTCAGCTTCACCTGTAGCAGCCACAATCTTCTCTACTGCAACAGAAAATGACTTGCAAGGAAGTCAATTTCCAATTCCAACTCAGGAAAATTCTGTTGAAGACATGCAAATTGCGGAAATTTCCTTACCTCGCCAACGTCTTCCTGTCTTCGAAACGTCTCCTCCACGCACTCCTGCAATTTCCTTTTCCAACGCATTGACGATTTTATTTTGCGGACGTCTGCTGTCGGTGCACGCGTCATCACCGCCGTTGACAGCATTGCAAATGCAGCAGTCTTTCTGCTTCCTTCGTCTCATTCGATTTGGCGTCAAAATGTTTTTCCGCCACTCGACACGCACCGTTTTTCTACACCATCAGCCATTTTCGTTTTTCCCGAGGCAGTTCCAGTCAATTTCTCAGTTATCGAAACTTTTCCGCAGCCTCGACGATTCCCGAAATCTGATTCTCCACTGCTACCTGCCAGCATCGCCGATCGTCCGTCACGTGATGCACTCGACGACAATTTCGACAACCATGCAACAGTTACCGACGCAGCTGTCGTTTTTGTCCTACATCCGAAATCGCGTCGCGCAAAGCTATTACAACTGTCGAATTCCCCTTCCCCGAAATTCGGCCCTGACACCTCAGCATGGTCCCACGCGCAAGTGGCGAAGTGTCGTACGGGGAGTGTATACCATTCGCCCCAACAATCCGACCCTTCGCGTTTCGTCTTGCGAAATTGAGGGGGGAAAAGAGTACGATTTATCCTGGTGAAAATTTCGCAATTTCGCCACGTCTAAGTAAGTGACGACGACCTCATGACGTCACCACGACATACAAACACGTCCTTTACAGTGTGGAATTTGCAGAAATGAAGGGGAGTGTTGAGAGATGTAGGTCTCTTAGCATTTCTGAAATTCCCAGTTAGACTATACAATATCGAAACAGTACAATAGTGGGTCTCGAACTTGATGACGTCAGCATTCGGATTCAGCTAACTAGTCAAAGTAGCTCTAGGCCTAGGTCAACAAATAGCCCTGTACTTTTGCTAGGACTATAAAAGCTCTGTATGCATGTTTCATAAATATAACTTTACACACATATATTTTTTATAACTTACAACTTTCATATACAAGCTTGACTCCACACAAGTTGGACAAGCTACAAGTCTTCCGCTGCCAATACTTAGTCTTTAATCCAAGATACTACGATCCTGAAAAGGGCTACGTCCCTTAACCAATTCTACGGGTTTCCAACCCATTCCATCAAGGCAGACCAAGTTTCAAGGCAAACCGTGTTTCTGGGCGAACCAAGTTTCAGGACGAACCAAGTTTCAGGGCAAAGCAAGTTTCAAAGCAATCCAAGTTTCAGGGCAAACCAAGTTTCAAAGCAATCCAAGTTTCAGGGCATCTATTCTCTAGACTATCATTGCCTCATGCTGATACATTTCATATCTGCACTCGGGCTATGCAGCATTGGTGCTGCCGGCTGATGCATGATCCATCTGATGCCCCACCTTAGCCACCTGACCCACAGCTGCTTCCCATCCCATCCCTTTCCATTCTTGAAATGTCTCAAACTTGGGCTCAGGCTAAGCAGCGGCATTCGTGCCTTGTGATGTATAGTCCAGCACGGCCAAGTGGGGCACTATGAGAGACGCAATTCACAGCTTCCCATCCCTCTCCATTTCCGAGACGTCTCAAGAAGCTGGTAATCAGCCCTGCACAGCCTACGCTGGGCTCAGGTTAAGCAGCAGCGGCGGTGCCTCCTCCTGGTGTATAGTCCAGCACAGCCAGGTGGGGCACTATGAGAGACGCGATCCACAGCTTCCCATCCCTCTCCATCACCTCACTCGGTGCTTGCACCCGCTTCCCCGCCCGGTCCTCCAAAATCTCCGTGATCTGCCCGGACGAGTCCACCTCCGCGATTAACCCATTGGGCAGCCCGAAAATTCCGGCGTAGAGGAGGAGAGGGTGGAGATTGAGGCGGAGGAGGATGGAGCGCAGGCGGGGCGTGCGGGCGAGGAAATCTGGAGAGGAGGGGGAGATTGGGGTAGGGAGAGGAGGGGGATAGTGGGTTGAGGAGTGGAGGAAAGTGCGGGTTGGAGGGATGAGGGAGGTAGGGAGCGGTGAGAGGGACATGTGGGCTTGAGGTCATAACAAGGGGATGAAGATCAAGACAATGGTGGGGAATGGTGGCATGGGAAATGGCTGGGAAAGGACCGTACGTGGGAAAGGGGAGCAGAGAAGAGCATTCCTGTACCATAGGCGGAGGTTCGGTAGGCAGGCATGGCGATCCAGAAGCGGCCGCGGGGGTTGAGTCGGGGGTTGTCGGGCACGCCTGGCAAATCCACCATCACCTCATGGCTGCCTGCCTTGCTGCCCTTGAGCCAATACCGGTTGCACCTGCGCACACATCCGTGCACACATCCGTGCACACATCCGTGCACATGTACATACACATGCAGACACATACGCTTACACACACATGAGGAGGTAAATCAAAGCATTTGGAGGCATGTGCAGGTATACGGAGGTAACAGGGCGTGCCGCAATAAATACATTAAATCAAATGGCTCGATAACAGTCACCTCACCTGCGTCCATGCCAATCTCCCACCTGGCTCGGATGGTCTCGCAATAAACGAGGAAGGAGCAATCCGCAGAGAGAGCTATCCCATTGGCGAAGGCCACCCCCGCCACCAGCTGAGTCACCTCCCCCGTCGCCAGCTCGTACTTGTACACTCCGCCGTCCGCCCTGCCGTCCAGAATCATGGAGAGGAAGTTCCTGTTGGGCGGCAGACAGGTGGGGAAAGGGGGAGAGAGGATGATTTGAGGATGCGGAAGAGAGTGGTGGTGGGAGGAAGGTGGTGGCGAGAGGAGAGTGGTGGTGGGAGGAAGGTGGTGGCGAGATGAGAGTGGTGGTGGGAGGAGGGAGGGTGGCATTGAGACTTGAAAGGTGGTCTAACAGCGGAGCTAGGCAGGTGGGAAGAATGCAAGCGCGTGAAGAGGAGGACAGGTGAAGGTGTACGGAACGGGGGAGAGAGGGGATGGGGAAAGGGGGAAGGGGGAAGTGGGGAGGGGAAAGGTGGAGTGGAGGGACTAAAGAGTGAGATGGGGTTTTTTGTGGGAGCATGCTGTGGAGGAGAGGAGGGAGATGGACGAAATGCAGTGAGCAGGGTTTGCCTACCTCATCTCGTATTTCGTACTCGTTACAGTGAAATACACTGTTCCGTTTGCATCCTCCGCGTCAATATCAAGGTCGTTGAGAAACGACACCTTCTGCCCGTCCACCAGTTTTCCCCCAACCAGCTGCTCCGCCAGACCCCCTTTTAAGCCAACCCGATTCAGCCCATAGTACGCGTCCGCGATATAAAGCTCTCCGGTTACAGGGTGAAACCGCAGGCCTAAGGGCCGGCCGCAAAGAGGCTCCTTAGCCGGGTCGGGCTGTGACTTAGGCGGAATGTCACACAACTGAGAGGTGCGATTCGGAGAGGCCTGAGCGAAGGGCTCCCATTGGCTGTCGTCCGCGCTGCGCCGCACAACGCGGCCGTCCGCAAGGCCGGAGTAAGGGCCCGCGCCGTTGGCGTCGATGGCGAGACTCTCAGGGCCGATCCCCTCGTTTGCGTACCTGCCAGCGCCGCATCCACAGCGCAACATTCGCCGCGATATTGGAAAGAAAACGAGGAAAAACGGGAAGTAAAACGACATGGGAAATTCAGGCATTCTGTATTTTGAGGAATAATGTACGCTCGCGATTACTCTGGACTACGAGACTATGAAATCCCGTTTTTACAGTCGACAATAAGAACTCAAGTCTCATGCATTTCAGGAAATAAGATTGCCTGTTGGTACTCTCAAGCAGGTCCTCCTGCTGCATCTGTCCAAACCAAATGTGGTCCGCTTTTTTAGATAAATTATCTTCCTACAACGGTGAAATTATGACGGTTTTCCTCATCTGCGGGCGCTTCCCTTTCTGTCACTTTCGTCGAGAAACGCGTTGTGGCTTACATAATCTCGGCGGAAGCAAGGCGGTTGGAGGGGTCGCTAGCTGCTGGCACGGCAAGCGGCGGGAGGAGGACGGGCGACACGTCTACCGGCTGGCGAAGAGCGAGCGGGTCGTTGTACACGAACGACGCGACTGCCGCAACAAGCACGCCGAGAAACGCGGCGCGAAGCGCGGCCATAGCCGAATTGGAGGCGAGAACGACACTCGAGGAAAATCGACAGCCGAATCGAGAATTATGGAAGCGGGATTGTCTGCCAATCCCGATGCAATGCCGTGCTGTGTGACTGGGAAGGGCTGGCTGGCATTCCCTTGGGGACTGGGCAAATCTCTGGCAGCGAAGAATGCTGGATGGAGTGGCTGCACTCGAAGCAGATTCTGCAGGTCAGTGGTGTAGCGCAGTCTAACAGGGTGCTAAATGTTCGGGAAAATATGCCATAAGTAACCAAATTGGGATAACGTAAATGGTAAACAATGTTGGGAACAAACAATCTTAAAGCTCAAGGCCCAAATTGCGGGCCGCGCGAGGCAAGTTTAGTAAGGTTGATCGAGTGCTGCTTTGCAGCTTTAGCTGGGCGAATTGTGGTTACGAAATGTACGAAGCCATCTGATTGGCCAGAACATTTGAGTCAGCGAATGGAACAGGTGGTGCGGGAAACTGGCAAGAGTAATATTTGTGCAATATGGGACTCGCGCAACCAAACCTGAGCGTCCCCTAGGCTTTGCTGAGTCAGCGAATTTTGTTTTGAGTGTGGCGAGAAGCTGGGCGAAACCAAACCCCTACACCCCTCAAACACCTCGACTTTCCTACTCAGCTTTCCCACCACCCAAGGGTCAACTTTAGTAATCCTGAACAATTTGGGCCTTGAGCTTTAAGCGCCTCTGTCGTGTCGAAACACCAAGGCACAAGCGAAGCAGAGCATATCGAGGCACCAGCGAGTCAACCCTCGGAGGTTGAAGTAACCGCTGGAGGTTACGCGAAAGTCAAAGGTCAGCGACCTTTGACTTGACAAATGCAGCGCGACAGCAAGGACACACAACTGACTCGACATTGAGCAGTTGCCCGAGTCGCACTGTATCGAACCGCAACAGTAAAACAGTTTAATTATATCTCTTCGTATTCTTTGTACTCTTATATAAACCTTTGTACTTGCTTGTTTTAATCAACTTACTTTGCCCTCACATACCAGCGCAAGGTGGTTCAAGGACTTCATTTAAACGCTTCCGCTACTACATCACTCTACCCAGAGTTTAACCCTACCAAAGATCCTAAGGGGCACTCAGCCCAACATGGTATGAGAGCTGGTTAGGGTTAAAATTATTTCTCCTTAACACCTAATACACCAAGAGACATGTCTACCAGAAAGGAGAGGAACTCCTCCAACGGCTCTCCTGGTACTACTCCTACTCCACCTCCTGCCTCTGGCCTACAGACAGAGGAAGGCACAACAACGAGACCGGCAGCTGGGTCTACTGAAACACCCGCAAACCAAGGCGCGGGCTTCGATCCAAGCATGATGGAGAAGTTTTTCTCCTTCATGTCCTTCTACGAGCAGCATCAGCAAGGAGCACCTGCGCAATCAAACAACAGCAACAACAACAACAACGTGACGCCCATGAGTCTCGATGGCTCATCCTACGCACGCGGGAATCAACAACAGCAACCTACCTTCGCACCGTACGAGCCCCAGCGCGGCTCCGTCAGCTTCATGCCACAACCACAACCTGCACCGGGACAAGAGAGAACGCTGGACGCACTACAAGTTCAGTCGCAGTTCGCGCACGTTCTAAAACTGCAAACGACAAAACCCTTCGACGGGAAGGATTTCTTTACCTGGTCGTTCGAATTCGAGCTGATGATGGAAGGAGCGCAAATCCTTGGCTTCTTCGACGGGTCCCTGCCATACCCAACAAACGGCACACAGTATGAGAAGCAGCAGTACACCTATCAATCGATGATGGCGTACACGATACTACTGAGGAACATCACTCCAACTCAACAACAAAACATACGGTCTTACCGAGGCTACGGCAACTCCGCGGAGCTCGCGTACAATCACTTGAAGAGCCTGTATCAAGCAACAGACAGCGTAAACCAAAGTCGGTTAATGGCGCAGCTGACAACAATCGAAATGAAACCAGGCGAGAAGGGAATGGCGTATATCAGTCGCTGCCGCGAGCTGCGCGACAAGCTTCTTCGATGTGGAGGATCGATTTCAGAGGACGCCTTCGTCACGGTTGTCATCGGCGGTCTTGGTCCTCACTGGCGCTCCACTCGCGCCATACTACGAGCCTACGGGAAAATTTCTGAAGCAGCACTTTGAGCCGAAATCCACGCCGAGCAGCAAGACATGGACCTGCAAGAAGAACGACACAAGAGAAAGGTATCAGTGCCCGAATTCGCGTTTCACACTCAACGGCGCCACAACAACAACAACAATCGACCGAAAATCGTACCTCCGTTCTGCCACCTCTGCAAGACTTCAGGGCATCCTCGTACGCACTGCCCGAATCGACAACAGTCAACGTCGCCGCAACGCCAACTTCGCCCTTCAAGCAGTCAAGTCGCCTCAACGCAAGCAAATCCGACAACTTCAGTACAAGTCTAAACAACATCGACGGGACAACCTGCGAAAGGAACAAGAAACATCGTCAGCTGCATGGCAAGGCTGAGTGACTCCTGCGTAACTGAGTCACCACCATATTACTCACCAGAAGAACAACTCGACAACAGCACGCCTCACCGCGAGTCACTTCAACCGAACCCGACGTACGCCGCCATCGCTCAAAGCGAGCCGTCCGGGAAGGATACATGGTTCTTGGACAGTTGCTGCGGACAACATATGTGCTCTTCAGGACGTTTCGTTCAACGCGAGCACCAACTTCAACGAGAAGTCGTCATCACTGTTGCCAATAATCAGAACCTGCGCACACGACGACAAGGAGTAGTGCAACTTCAGTCACGAGAGACGAATGTCATACTGCAAATGTCCAAAGTCCTAATAGCAGAAGGACTTGGCTACAACTTACTGAGCGTCAGTCAGTTGATGGCGAAAGGCATACATCTGGAAGCCGACAGTACCACCCAGGGGTTCAAGCTGTACCACGGGAAGGGCGGCCTCTACATCGGAAAGGTGGTCCTGAAGAACAATGTCTTCGTTCTCGATTTCGTCCCAGTCCTGGGCACCGCAGACAGTGACGGGATCGTCACCTTCACATCTTGGACGCACCCGCCGGATCTCGACCCCGACTTCAGTCCGGAAGGCTTTTGGTATTCACATACCATTCCTGAAGCAGAACGAACACGTGCGTTAGTAACAATACAACATTCGGCAGCAGCAGAGACAACATCGGCAGCAACAGAGACAACATCGGCAGCAGCAGAGACAACATCGGCAGCAGCAGAGACATCATCGGCAGCAGCAGAGACATCATCGGCAGTAGCAGGAACAACAACAGTAGCAGCAACAACGACACCACTCCTCGTTGACGAAGCACCACCAACACCCGCACAGCAGCTGAATCCGGCTCAACGGGAAGTCCATAGAAGCGCAAACTTCACCGCCAGCTTCTACTCCAACTCCGACGCGTATCGACGCTCACCCGGACACCGCGCCTCCGAAGACATCTGGCACGCACGCATGGGACACCCAAGCAACACTGTGTTAAACAGCACAATAAGAGCAGGAGTCATTGACAAGGACTCGTTACTACTACTCGACGGCAGAGAACTTCAACGGGCACGAGGAACATGTCTTACCTGCCCCGAAGCCGACTTACCACATCGGCCGTTCACTCCTCATCACAACCCGAGCACACCCGCGTACGCACCACTCGAAAAGGTGTATAGCGACATCCTGTACAATCGGGAACCAGGACAAGTAATATACAACTACACAATCACCTTCATCGACGCCGCCACCCGTTACGTCTGGCATCTAAACCTACCCAGCCGCGACATGGTCCTCGAAGCATTCGCTGCTTGGCTACCAGTAGCAGAAAGAGAGTCGGGCGTAAAGCTGAAAAGCTTCCAGTCTGACGGAGGAGGAGAATACACCTCTCAGCGATTCAAGCAGTACCTGGCGGAAAGGGGAATCAAGCAGCTCCTCTCTCTTCCCTACGCCCATCAGCAGCAAGGTGTAGCAGAAATAATGAACAGGACTCTGCAGAACAGCATGCGCAAACTGTTGCGTGGCATGCGGCTACCCAACCACCAGTGGCCTGACGCGATGGACCACGCTGTCATGCTGCACAACTTGCTCTCATCTTCATCACTACCGAACAACGCATCACCGCATCTGCTGTGGACAGGAAAACAGGGCAGCACAAAAATGTTACGAGTGTTCGGATGCATGGTACAGTACCGACCCCCAGCAGCACGAGCGGGCCGATTTTCACAACGCGCACAGTGGGGACTACACCTCGGCATCGAAAAGAACTACAACGCGTGGAAAATCTTTGACGTCCACTCCAAGGAAACAGTAGCAGCACGCGACGTCATTTTCTACGAACGACTCACGCTCCAGACATACCTTGCCAACCTGCAAGAGGACCAAGATCCCACAGGTGGTTTTCGTGGTGACCGAGCCTTCGCCTCGGCAGCAGACGAAGCTGACTGGGACGAGCAGAATGTGGCCAACGCATCAGAAGAAGCTGGACCCCTTCCGTTCTGCTCCGTCGACGTCCCCATGGACGAAGATAACCCTCGCGAAAGTGTCAACGCCGAAACCTTCTACTACTTCGCCGACAACGGTTACGTAACACCTGCGACAGTCAACACCAACGAAGCAGAACGAGTAGGACCGAATTTCATACCTGATCCAGAAGCGGGAGATGAAGCAGCTTATCCCGAGGATGCAACTCTTCCCCGCTACTCACAGACTGGACTGCAGATTCTCGGACTCGTCACCGCAGTCCACGGCAACACTCTTCCTAAGGAGCCTGCGACGGTTCAGCAGGCTCTGGGGGGGGAACACAGGGAAAAATGGCGTGAAGCCATGGACAGAGAGTTAAAGGCGCTGGAGGAACGGAACACCTGGAAAGTTGTCCCCATCAGCGTGGCAAGGAACAAGACCATTCTCACCGGGAAATGGGTCTTCCGCGTTAAAACAAAAGCAGACGGCACAATTGAGAAGTTCAAAGCACGTTGGGTTGTGCGTGGATTCGATCAGGAGCACGGACGGGACTTCACCGAGACATTCGCCCCGGTTAGCTGACATACCTCACTTCGAATCCTCCTCGCGATCGCCGCCATAAAGAAAAGGAAGCTACGGCAAATCGATGTCGCCAACGCGTTCCTCTACGCACCTGTCGACGTGGAAATCTTCGTCGAGCTCCCACACGGTACCAACGGGGAACCTAACCAAGTCTGTCAACTGCTGAAATCACTTTACGGGATCAAGCAAGCTCCGCGGCTATGGCAACAGTACCTACACGCTCGCCTCATTCGCATCGGATTCCGCCAACTACCTCACGACCAAGGAATGTACCGACTCACTAAAGACACCGACTACATTCTGCTGATCGTCTACGTAGACGACCTACTCTACATTGGCTCCACTGACGACATCACCACCTGGTTCGAAGGGGAGCTACAGAGGGACCTCACACTCACGGTCTCCTCTACCGTCACACAGTACCTCGGCTTGAACATTCGGGAAGAAGAAGGCGCGATCTACCTCAACGCCGCTAAGTACGCCGACACCATCGCCAAACGCTTCGCGCTCACACCTACCACCATCTCTACGCCCTACCGCTACGCGACAGGAAACCACAAGGAAGGATCCTCTCTACTCATACCCGCCGGGATACGCGACTACCAGAGAAAGCTAGGATGCCTTCTCTTCGCAGCTGTCACCTGCCGCCCCGTGGCGCGCGACATCCCATTTTTCTTCCCGCCACGCGCTCGGAGCGCGTGGCGGTTTTCTGCCCGCCGTGCGCCCCGAGGCGCGCGGCGGGTTCCTACCTCGTCGCGGCGTCTTAGGGGCCCGCGCACTGGCCCCGACCGTCGCCTCGTCGAGGCGTTTTGGGGGCCTGCACGCAGGTCCCTCCCGTCGCCTCGTCGCGGCACTTTCGGGGCCCGCGAGCCGGCCCCTCCCGTTGCCTCGTCGCGGCGCCTTAGGGGCCTGCGCGCGGTCCCCTCTCGTTGCCAGTCGAGGCACTTTTGGGGACCTGCGCGGCTCCCTAGCACATCGCCCGTCAGGGCACAATGGGGGCCGCGCCCTTCCCCTCCCCTCCCTCCTACTTTCCGCTGCAGCAGCCGCCCCTGGAGCCGCCGCCCCTGAAGCAGCCGCCCCTGGAGCGGCCTGCCTTGCAACAGCAGCCGCCCCTGGAGCAGCCGCCCCAGCAGCAGCAGCCCCTGGAGCAGCCGCCCCAGCAGCAGCAACCCCTGGAGCCGCCGCCACTGCAGCGGCCGCCCCAGCAGCAGCAGCCCCTGAAGCAGCCGCCCCAGCAGTAGCAGCCCCTGGAGTAGCCGCCCCAGCAGCAGCAGCCTCTGGAGCAGCCGCCCCAGCAGCAGCAGCCCCTGGAGCAGCCGCCCCAGCAGCAGCAGCCCCTGGAGCAGCCGCCCCAGCAGCAGCCGCCCCAGCAGCAGCAGCCCCAGCAGCAGCAGCCCCTGGAGCAGCCGCCCCAGCAGCAGCAGCACCTGGAGCAGCCGCCCCAGCAGCATCAGCCCCAGCAGCAGCAGCCCCTAGAGCAGCCGCCCCAGCAGCAGCAGCACCTGGAGCAGCCGCCCCAGCAGCAGCAGCCCCTGGAGCAGCCGCCCCAGCAGCAGCCCCTGGAGCAGCCGCCCCAGCAGCAGCAGCCCCTGGAGCAGCCGCCCCAGCAGCAGCAGCCCCTGGAGCAGCCGCCCCAGCAGCAGCAGCCCCTGGAGCAGCCGCCTCAGCAGCAGCAGCCCCTGGAGCAGCCGCCCCAGCAGCAGCAGCCCCTGGAGCAGCCGCCCCAGCAGCAGCCGCCCCTGGCCCCTGCAGCAGCCGCTCCTGGACCCGGTGCAGCCGTGGGGGGGTGGGTGTGGGGGTGATGGTTGTGGGGGTGTCGGTTGTGCGTGCCGTTCCCTCCTCCTCCTCCTCCTTCGTCTCCCACTGCTGCAGCTCTCGCTGAGGGGGGTGGATGTGTGGGAGTCTGGGGTTTAGGGTTTAAGGGGGTGCTGTGGGTGTAGGGCTAGGGTTTGAGCAGGGGGTGTGTGAGAAGGGCGTTAGGCAGCTGGGGAGGTCGAGTGGAGGCAGCAGTCTTGTCGTCAGCAGCAGCAGCAGTCCGGAGGCTACAATCTCCGGTAGTCGCCAGTCGCCCGTGGGTCCGTTGCTCGTCTGCCGCTACTTTTAGCCGCGGGGCCAGTTACCCCAGTAGTCCGGAGCGCTGTTCCGGTAGCCACTGAGCCAGCAGCTCGTCTGTGTGTCTGCAGCGTTAGCAGTCGCCTCCCATCTTCTCTCCCCCACAGTCTCTCCTCCTCCTCACTTGCCCTCTGTGATTAGCTCTAGCCTTACTTACCTATTGTGAACTCTTGCTCTATGCTTGCTCATTGTGCTGATTACACCCCACTTTGGCTATGGGGGTGTGTCAGAATGTATTTGCTGTCTAGCCTGCAGTGGGGTACTCTGTAATGAGTACAACCCAATTTAGGGTGTTGTACTTGTATCCCAACTCTTGCTAGTAAAACCCTATTCCTCTCCTTCCAAACCTCTCGATACTTTTCCTAAACTCGAACTCAACTACCAAGGCTCCTAAACTATGGCTCCTAAGCCAAACTCACGCTAGGATTCTGATAGTTTTAATCAACTTACTTTGCCCTCACATACCAGCGCAAGGTGGTTCAAGGACTTCATTTAAACGCTTCCGCTACTACATCACTCTACCCAGAGTTTAACCCTACCAAAGATCCTAAGGGGCACTCAGCCCAACAAACAAAACTTACATCCGGTCACTGTATCGGGTTTTCTGACGGGTTTGGTAGTGGGGTCACGGATTCAGTCACTAACAACAGGTAAAAAATCACGCGAATGGTCACACATGTAAATCCCGCAAATAAAACTGGAGACTCAACAAAATTCCCGCTTGCACTCAACCAATCTGCTAACTTCTAAAAAACTAAAAACCCAATCGGAATCGGATGCGGTTTGGGAACAGATAAACCCTAAACACCTGGCGAGTTACGTGTTGAGGGTTGATTCATCCGAAAATGCTTCCAGGTTCCTTTTGGGTTTCATTTTATTTTGGCGGGAGTTTCATCTATGACCATTCACGTTTTTTGTTTTACGACTTGATAGTGACTGATTACGTGAAACGTTTTATCAGTCGCGTGAGAAAACCCTTTGCAGTGACCGTACCCTTTATTTTTTTAAGCAAAAATGTTATCGAGTCCCATGTTAGTTACGAATTACATATTTTCCCTAAATGTTTCAGTTCGGTGCTGCGAGCTGGTTATACTCTTCGCGAATGTGGCGAAAGAATGCTCTGTAAATGTAGCCGTCTGACGAAACTCGGTTTCCGTTTCGGCCATTTGGAGAAGGAAATCGTTGAAAATAATTTTATTTCAGGTTTCCAGTTCAAGAACCTGGAGCAGAACATTCAGGCAACCAAGCCGAAGCAAATCAAATGGAGTAAGAGACACTCCCAACCCAACACTCAAGAGGGACTTCGGACTCATGTAGATTTAGAAAGCCCCGACAAGCGCCTTGCGGGGGTAGTAAGCGTTGCCGTTGTCGCTGAACGAGGACGAAGCGCCAGTCGCCATTTCGACCGCGAGCGCGGTCTCGTCGTCGAGGTCCTCTGCGCGCACGAAGCGGCAGAAGGCGCAGTCGGAGTGGGTGAGGTCGGAGCACTTGTAGTCGTCGACGGTGCCGTCAATGAAGCCCTCAGCGTTGTCGCCGGGCACCACGTACGTCTTGAACAGCTCGCTGTACACCAGCTTCTGCTTCTCGCTGAATTCATAAAGAAATAAAACAGGGCTCGAGTGTAAGTCAGGGGGGAATGTTGTGCAAAGAATCACAACAGCAAAAAGCTGCTGCTGCGACAGGCACTCGCTCGTGTTTGAAAGAAAGCAGGGGAAAAACGCGGCTACTTACAGTCGGCTGGCGAAGTCGGGGCGGTAGGTCTGGCCGAGCACGCCGTGCACGTTGGGGGACAGCTTCGCGCTCATCACGTCCACCGTGAAGTGAACCAGCCCGTCCTCATCGGTGCGAAGCATTTCGATCTCCGGTCGCAGAGTCAGTCGCAGGGCGAGAATGTCGCTGATGCGAACCTCGTACTCATCAACAAGGTCGTCCTTGACCGGCTTCTTCGCAGCCACCCACTTAATCTCAACCTGCCCGTCAAAGAACGACGCGGCCTCGAGGTGCGACCCGGGAACGCCCAGCTTTACCACCTCACTGTCAACCATGAGGCGCTGGAGATACCCGGTGCCGTAATCGGCAGCCCAGCCCTCACGCGCCTCGAACACAATAGTGTGGTGTCCCCACAGAACGCTGATTTGGCGCATCCACGTCAGCGCCTTGTTGCGGCCTTCCCATTCGCCCCAGCGGCCGTCGAAGTGAGCCTGAACCGCCACGTGGGCGTCGGAGATGAGCGCGTAATCCTCGCCGGGCCGGCCGCTGAAGTCGAAGCGCGACAGGTCGGCGCCGACAAAGTGCGGGTCGCCGGTGCCATTGGCGGGGCAGATCTTGCCAACGTAGATGAACGCGGGGCGCACGCCGTTATCTTTCGAGGGGTCGACGAAGTGCTTGTCCTTGCACACCTCCTCGCCGTAGCACGTGCACAGACCTGCACGGATGAAACCGAAGTGAGTACATTCAAGGACGGAGTCGAACGCAGATTGAGTACGCCAATGCCAGCAAGCAGGAGATACGAAGCGGTGATTGGGGAGCTAGGAATGTACCCAAGATTCGGTGCGAAGCACGAAGCAGGCATGCTTACCGCCGGTGGTGGGGTCGGTGAAGGGTTCGTACTGCCAGTACACGACGGGATCGGGGCGGTTGCCCTGGTTGTGGTACTGGCACACCTTCCAGCACTCCTCGTTCGGGTCCTTGGTCGCGCTGTACGTGAAGGCCTCTGAGAATTTAGGGTTCACAGCATCGAAGCGGCCGGCCTGCTTCGACTTAGACTGGCACTGGAAAATGGGACAGGAGCGGTTGTCCTGGTTTGCGCCCAGTGGTGGCGGTGCCACGACTTGGCCTACAATGCAGAGGAGCACGATGAGTGCAGCTTTCGTCCTAGTCATCGCCATTGTGCTTGAGTGAAGCTGTTGCCTCAGATTCTTTTACCAAACGAATTCTGAAACTCAGCACGTCTGTTTGAAAAAATGGGAAAATGTGCTTTTCTGCCATTGCTGAACTTCCGACTTGGAAGGGGTGGTGTGGTGTGACGGCAGGAAATGTGGGGCGAAAGGGGTTGCTCGAACAGATTGTGTACAGAACAGAGAGGAGGACGAGGAAGACGACAAAATGGTCAAACGAATACTACAGCTACAGTGGCTAGTCTTGGACCTGATGCGGAGCCTCACATAATCACAGAGCGTAGTCTATTTCAACCTGTGATAGGTATTTCTGCGTCTACAAATTTATCAGCGTGAACTAGAAATTGAACAATGTTCACTCCAATTTGCATCACTAGAAGCGGATGGTACCAAAGGTCTAGTATTTTAGTGAGAAACATACTTACATGAAACTTTCAGCACCGAAATTCCGGGTGCAAGGGAACTAGCAAAGGCAAACACGGACTACTTTCTGATGCCACGGAATTTCACAGGAAACACGTTGTTGGGTGGGCCATAGCGACAAAGCAGTCCACTTCAAGCATGCATACCGAGGCCAGGTCAGGTCTCCTTTCAAATTCCTCCCCCTTCGATTATGAATCCAAGATTACTTCTGTATGAACAGAAAACTCCGCTGCTCGGGTTTCTCCTGGGAACGAGGACAGCTCAGAGCGATGCTGCTGACGCGGCATTCTGTTGATGTCACCTGTAGATCGTTCGCGAAGTCATGAAGCGAAGCGCAGGTCGTATTCGACTCCAGCCCATGACCACCCCATGCAGTGTTACAGGCTACAGCTGATATACAGAACCTTTATTATTCAATTTTTATCCAGCAAGTGATAAAGTAGGATTTAATTCCTGCAAATCTGGCCTTAGCGCGGACCCAGATTCTTGGTGACGAGAACCATTCCTCACCTAGTCAGGTCAGGACATAGGTATCTATGCAACTAATTAGTACTGGTATCAGAATCCCCCCTTATGGCTGCAGATCGGTCAGTTCCTGATCTTCTGACGTGGCTAGTACTTCGAGACACTGCTGTGTCGACCCGCCTGTATAAAGCCACCGAGCATTTGCCGATCTTCCGTTCTTTCCTGATCCTCCTCGAGCGATCCGGCGATGGCCGCCTCCTCCTCCCTCTCTGCTTCGCGCTCTGGCTTTCTCTCGTCTTCACCACCGCGACGATCCGTCAGATATTTCTAGGAACGTTCCTCGCGTGCATACTCGATCTGGCGGTCGTCGGTATTCTCAAGGTCGCGTTTCGCCGGCCGCGGCCACACTACAATCGCGGGATGCTGGTCGTCGTGGCGCCCGATCAGTGGTCTTTCCCCAGCGGCCACGCGTCGCGTGCCATCATGATCGCAGCGCTCTTCTTCCACCTCCTCCCACCCATCTCCACCGAATTCGGCCACATGCTTCCCGCCAACCCCAGCCGCCTGATCCCGCCGAATCTGCGTCGGCTGCTCCTGGAAAGCCTCAGAAACTCCTTATCAGCCGATCTAAGCCCGGAATTTAGGGTTTGGTTACTTATCGCAGCGGTTGCCGTGTGGGGAGCTGCTACTGCAGGTTCCAGAGTGTTCCTCGGACGGCATTTCGTTCTGGATGTGGCCGTTGGCTGTCTCCTAGGGTTTCTAGAAGCTCTACTAGTCGCCAGGATGGTTTGGCCGGCTACAGAAGTTTCTGAGAAGCTGCGCGAGGTGGCCCTGACCTGGCGGAAAGGGGAATCAAGCAGCTCCTCTCTCTTCCCTACGCCCATCAGCAGCAAGGTGTAGCAGAAAGAATGAACAGGACTCTGCAGAACAGCATGCGCAAACTGTTGCGTGGCATGCGGCTACCCAACCACCAGTGGCCTGACGCGATGGACCACGCTGTCATGCTGCACAACTTGCTCTCATCTTCATCACTACCGAACAACGCATCACCGCATCTGCTGTGGACAGGAAAACAGGGCAGCACAAAAATGTTACGAGTGTTCGGATGCATGGTACAGTACCGACCCCCAGCAGCACGAGCGGGCCGATTTTCACAACGCGCACAGTGGGGACTACACCTCGGCATCGAAAAGAACTACAACGCGTGGAAAATCTTTGACGTCCACTCCAAGGAAACAGTAGCAGCACGCGACGTCATTTTCTACGAACGACTCACGCTCCAGACATACCTTGCCAACCTGCAAGAGGACCAAGATCCCACAGGTGGTTTTCGTGGTGACCGAGCCTTCGCCTCGGCAGCAGACGAAGCTGACTGGGACGAGCAGAATGTGGCCAACGCATCAGAAGAAGCTGGACCCCTTCCCTTCTGCTCCGTCGACGTCCCCATGGACGAAGATAACCCTCGCGAAAGTGTCAACGCCGAAACCTTCTACTACTTCGCCGACAACGGTTACGTAACACCTGCGACAGTCAACACCAACGAAGCAGAACGAGTAGGACCGAATTTCATACCTGATCCAGAAGCGGGAGATGAAGCAGCTTATCCCGAGGATGCAACTCTTCCCCGCTACTCACAGACTGGACTGCAGATTCTCGGACTCGTCACCGCAGTCCACGGCAACACTCTTCCTAAGGAGCCTGCGACGGTTCAGCAGGCTCTGGGGGGGGAACACAGGGAAAAATGGCGTGAAGCCATGGACAGAGAGTTAAAGGCGCTGGAGGAACGGAACACCTGGAAAGTTGTCCCCATCAGCGTGGCAAGGAACAAGACCATTCTCACCGGGAAATGGGTCTTCCGCGTTAAAACAAAAGCAGACGGCACAATTGAGAAGTTCAAAGCACGTTGGGTTGTGCGTGGATTCGATCAGGAGCACGGACGGAACTTCACCGAGACATTCGCCCCGGTTAGCCGACATACCTCACTTCGAATCCTCCTCGCGATCGCCGCCATAAAGAAAAGGAAGCTACGGCAAATCGATGTCGCCAACGCGTTCCTCTACGCACTTGTCGACGTGGAAATCTTCGTCGAGCTCCCACACGGTACCAACGGGGAACCTAACCAAGTCTGTCAACTGCTGAAATCACTTTACGGGATCAAGCAAGCTCCGCGGCTATGGCAACAGTACCTACACGCTCGCCTCATTCGCATCGGATTCCGCCAACTACCTCACGACCAAGGAATGTACCGACTCACTAAAGACACCGACTACATTCTGCTGATCGTCTACGTAGACGACCTACTCTACATCGGCTCCACTGACGACATCACCACCTGGTTCGAAGGGGAGCTACAGAGGGACCTCACACTCACGGTCTCCTCTACCGTCACACAGTACCTCGGCTTGAACATTCGGGAAGAAGAAGGCGCGATCTACCTCAACGCCGCTAAGTACGCCGACACCATCGCCAAACGCTTCGCGCTCACACCTACCACCATCTCTACGCCCTACCGCTACGCGTCAGGAAACCACAAGGAAGGATCCTCTCTACTCAAATCCGCCGGGATACGCGACTACCAGAGAAAGCTAGGATGCCTTCTCTTCGCAGCTGTCACCTGCCGCCCCGACCTCTCATACTCCGCAAGCCAGCTCGCCACCTACCTCAAGAAGCCTGAAGCAGAACACCTGGCGGAGCTCGACCGCGCTCTCCACTACTTCGTCAGTACCTCAACGATCGGCCTAACTTACGACAAGAACACAACTACACCGACTAAATTAATCGGCTACGTCGACGCTGATCACGCTGGCGACTCCGACAACAGGCGCTCCCGCACCGGCTACATCTACCGCCTCGAACCTATCGGACCGATCTCCTGGCAATCGAGCAAGCAGGAATTAATTGCTCTCTCGTCAGCTGAAGCAGAATATATTGCACTCTGCTCAGCCACCAAGGAAGGACTTGTCAGAACATTATATAGCTTATGCTGTTGTGTAGGCTATAGTGGGGTATCCCATAGGGGGTACAACCCAATTAGGGTTTCCTATATGTACTCACTTCATTCATAGTTCATTCATTCGCGTTCTCCTCTCCACATGGTATCAGAGCAGGTCCCCTCCTAGGGACTGTTTCTAGGGCCCACCGAAGCGCGCCCCGAGGCGCGCTTTCCTTTTTTTTTAGCGACCCTCCGTGTCGCCCCTAGCGGCCCGTTGCGCCGCCCTTACCTACGCGAGCCCGCCGCCCTTACGTCGCGGCCCAGCCGCCCTCACGTCGCGGCCCCGCCGCCCTCACCTACGCGGCCCCGCCGCCCTTAAGTCGCGGCCCCACCGCCCTCACGTCGCGGCCCCGCCGCCCTCACGTCGCGGCCCCGTCGCCCTTGCCTACGCGGCCCCGCCGCCCTCACGTCGCGACCCCGCCGCCCTCACGTCGCGGCCCCGCCGCCCTCACCTACGCGGCCCCGCCGCCCTTAAGTCGCGGCCCCGCCGCCCTCACGTCGCGGCCCCGCCGCCCTCACGTCGCGGCCCCACCGCCCTTGCCTACGCGGCCCCGCCGCCCTCACCTACGCGGCCCCGCCGCCCTCACGTCGCGGCCCCGCCGCCCTCACGTCGCGGCCTCGCCGCCCTTGCCTACGCGGCCCCGCCGCCCTCACCTTCGCGGCCCCGCCGCCCTCACGTCGCGGCCCCGCCGCCCTCACTTCGCGGCCCCGCCGCCCTCACCTACGCGGCCCCGCCGCCCCACTTCGCGGCCCCGCCGCCTACGGTACCGGCCCCGCCGCCTATCCTCACCGGCCCCGCCGCCTACGACCGCCGAGCCGCCCTGCCGCCGAGCCGCCCTGCCGCCCAGCAGCCGAGCCGCCGAGCCGCCCTGCCGCCGAGCCGCCCTGCCGCCGAGCCGCCCGGGAGCCGAGCCGCCGAGCCGCCCTGCCGCCGAGCCGCCCTGCCGCCGAGCCGCCCGGGAGCCGAGCCGCCCAGCAGCCGAGCCGCCGAGCCGCCCAGCCGCCGGGCCGCCCTACTGCCGAGCCGCCCGACCTGCCCTGCCTGGTGAGCACAGCACCACTGTTACTGCGTGCCCTTCCCCTACTGCTTGCACTACTACACTGTCGTCGT